TCTGAAAGGGAATTTTTGAATGTGGCGGGAGAAGTCAAGATTTATCGAAGTGTCTGTATGAAACGGTGGGCGTTGATTATTGTGATTCGAGTCGACTGTATATACTTGGTATTGCATCGCCAAGGTCATTTCCCTGGGCAGCGGAATGATTGGGCGGAATGGTATAATTCCACAGCAGATTCGTCTATTAAAACACAATCTTTCTGAGCTTTTCGCGCCTTGTTGTTTATAACATTCCTGTGAAGGCCTTAATATATTCGAGGATGACCTACCTGGCAGGTCAAGATACATGGACTGGTCGGGCTCCAGGATTTGACCCATCCCCAGGTCCCCATGTCAAGAAACGGAGGGACCCAGATGTGGAGTGGTTGCAAAGGGAAGGGACATCAGATGTCTCATAGATTGATGCAAGCTCATGAAGAAGTTGCCTCGGTTCGTCAAGGCACCGTCCACCATTTTGGGACAAGGACACTAAGGGCATTGACATCTCGGTGTAATTAGTTTGCAGACCAGTTCCATGTCGAGGTAATCGAAGTTGAATGACCAGCTTTCCTTATGACTCCAAACTTAGGTCAAAAGTCTTGCCCTCCATGGTTCGTAAAGGATGCTGACACGTCCATGGATTTGTTGTCAAGAATCGTATCATACACCAACTATTCAAATCATCCATTGGAATCATCCATGATGGTCTTTCGCCCTTTCACCCAGGCTATGCAGGCTTTTGGTGTTGCGTGCTGGTATGGCGTGGCGCATGGCAACTGTGGGATGCTGCGCTGGGGTTCTTTGGAGCTATAGACACCTCATGGTCCGCAAGTCCTGTGACCGCAGGTGAGCATAGTCCACTCACACCTCAACAACACCCAACCCCCTGCCAGGTAGTTTTGGAGCGTTTGTACCTGTTTGCCGGAGGTCTGGAAAATGGAACCCTATGTCCGACTGTTAATCTCATAAATATTCCGTGTTTGCTTTCACAAAAGAAGAGCAGAACAGAGCAGAACCAAACAATACAACACACACACACCATGCATTGATGATCACACTTGCAAAGTCGTGCTGGCCCAGAAACTTGGGCTGCTGGACTGCCCCCAGTTCCCTCCTTCCATATCCCTTTCCACCAGTTCCCGCAATTGCTCAGTGTTTTGATTGGAGTGTCAATCCCGAAGGCTAAGACTCACACCTTCCCCCCCGTTGGGACTAGCGGAGCGCAGCGACTGGATTCACTCGGCTGAAACTCGAACTGAACCGCAAGACAGACAGACAGACTTGGGTGTGTGTTTGAATAGGGAGACAACGAATTGGTTTTAGTCCAATTTTCCTTCTTCCAGAGGTTCTTTGGAAGGACTGCCTATTTTTTATACGCATCCACTTATATAACTTATGTACTATATACGACATCGACTCATGCAACTCTGTGCGGGCGTCCAGACAACTCCTCCTTGAGAATCGTTTCGGACGGTCGCCAGTCGCCAGCCGGTCCGGTTTTTTCATGCCCTTCGAGCTGTCAATTTGTTGCCCAGAAGACAAAGGGACATGTTCGTTTCCGAAACGAGTCTTCCAAATTTCCAGCGAGGCCTGTTCCACTTTCTTTGCTTTTCAGATCTTTTGAGAGGGTATAGGCCATACCACTGCGAATCCATGCCAGTTGAAACCTGATCCGGTCTAGGCTGTCAACCTAGAAGGTTGAACCAAGAGGAACATGGCGGTACATATGGAGTTTTTTTTGTATTACTATATTCATGAACAGAGTGTTACATCCTTAGATTAGATTGTCTTCGGTACATAATATGGGGGTACATATATTCTAAAATATTCTTAGACATCCTTTAAAACTTCCTTCCAAGATTGTATTGCGCCTTCTTGAAGTCTCCTCACCGACCAACTAAGGTTCCTTCCAGAGTCCCACGAAACGGGTCCTGCCAACATGCGGGGAGCATGGATGAGCCATTGGGTTCCTTGGACTGAAAAAAGAAAGCCAACACATTTCCGGTTGGGCTTTGGACGGGTGCTGCTTTCCAGTAAACCTTTGACGGATCTGCCGCGACGGTGAATCTTGGCTCCACAGAGGAAGCTGGGAGGCCAACTGCCTCCCAATGATTTCCTCACAAGTGGTGGGCCAGGCGTTATGCACATGAATCATGATGAAGAGACAGATGACCTCGAGAATACATTCGCTAGCGAACTTGTTCATGTTATTCTTCTTTTTTAGATCCAAGCCTCTATCCGATATATAGTTCGGCAATTGCAGCACATGTTTTTTTCCACAAGGACTGTGTCTTCTTTCTTTGTCTTCTGGTTTGGTAATTGATCAGCACGCTTTGGTGAAGATGCAAATGATGTGTATTGGCTGCCCTTGCAATGCTAGGGATGCAGCATGGCCCCAAACAAAAACTTGAAATTAGGAGTTCAAACTTTTGGTGACCAATCACTTTGCCCCTTCCTCGCGCGGCAAAAGCTGCCTTTGAGGTTGGTGTGTTCGTGGTCCTTTGTGCTGGGGGATTGAGAAGCCTCAATGCTCCGCCCATGCTGATTTTGTCCGCAGCTTGCCTGCAAGTCAGCAGGATTCTTTGGACTCGAACCTGCATTGTTTTTGTTAAAGCCTGTCAGACTTGGGGTTGATAGCAGTTTCAAGACTGAAGATCTGTTATTTCTTCCAACTTTGAGGCCTCCTAATCGCATTTTGGAGGACCAAATGGTGATGGCGCAAGCAACCAACGCAAATGATGGTAGGTGAATCTTTGCCGGTAGGCCATTCTCTTGAATCTTTCCGATGTGAAGCATCCTCGGATGACATGATCCACACTCCAACCACCAATCCATGGGTGAAATATGTGAAACTCACTCTTTGCGCAATAGACTAGAGCTGGCACAAGTCACCCATCTCCAGCTGCACCTCTTCGCTCGTCTTCTGAGGACACCCTGCCGCCCCTCTTTGGCGCGCGAGCGACCTGTGGCCTTCGCGGCTTCTCGCGGCCACTGGTACGCTGCCGCGAGCCGCCCCAGCTCATGCCTTGCCAGAAGTGGCATGAGGCCCTTGGAACACCATGTTGAGAGTTGAAAGCCAGACCAACCCCTCCAGCTTTGACCAACTTGTCCAGCTCAGCTAACCAAAATGCACTTCCAATCGATGAACCAAGTCCAGGTATAAGTCCGAGAACGAAGGCTACCTTTGGCGAAGACCTTTACTCTCATCATCCACTGTTGGCTGGAGACCCGTGCTATCTAAGACTCTTGGGGCTTTGCAAGTGCCTAAGACCTGAATGGCCAAAGGCTCCATGCTAACAGCGACATAGATGTGGAGCATGGCCCCAACAATGCTTTGCCTTCGTTGATGACTGGTGTAAGCCTGAACCATCCGAAAAGCTCAGCAGCCGCAGGTCGTGGGGCTTATGGAATTGAAACACGGCACCGCCGCATGGCACCGTCTGTCAGGTCGTGGGGCTACCCTTCCATTCTCAGGAGCCCAAGGGTTGTGAAGCGACGCCGGAGGCCAATGCCTCCCCAGTGGCAGGAGCCTTTGGAGATGTTCCGGGCATGTCTCCCTCCATCTCAAACTTATAAGGGCGGCCAGTCTCTGGGCCCGAAATGGTGAGGGCCTGAGAATGGAGGGTGTGGAGCAGGTCAGGGTAGAACAGAAGATGAAGATGGTTGATCTGGCTGGGACTTTTGTGAGGCATCATCAATGAGCCTATTGTAGGTTGTTCTTCAATTGAACGGACAGATGGCTCCTTTGCAAGATCAACATTTCATGATTGTTGGTTGAAGGAAAGTTCTTCGTTTGTCCTCTCATTTTGCATCGACCTGCCAGCAAGTTGCACTGTTCGGTTCGCCAGAAAGTCGCGTGCCGACATGCTGCCCAGCAGAGGGCCCCACTGAAGCCAATTTTCCGCACTGTAAGCTAAACGAAGTAGATTGACCGGTGGGTTCGCGTCATAGCTGACAGAAGCAGAGGAGCTTGCTGCCGGGAGTTCCTACTTCGATTGGGGTCAGGTTGTCCCTCCAGGAACATGTGTAAGCGGTCAATTTTGCAATAAATGGACGCTACTAGGGGCTCCTGGCCTTACTACTAGGAACAAGAAGCTACTAGGAGCAAAGGGCACCGCTACTAGAAGCAATAAAGCTACTAGGGGCACCCAACGAATCAAAGTCTCTTTTCTGATGGATCAGCATCCAGGTCTAGCTCGAACCACACTGCTTTGTTTGGCTGTGGCCAAGAAGTAGCCAAGTTCTGGTGCCGTTTGGGCACATCGCTGTTCTGGAGGTGGGGCCCCTTGTGGGACTTCAACTGGTCCATGTAGCTAGATGGACTTGAATCACCCCAACGAACTCACATGGAGGTGGAACATCTTTCCCAAAGCCGCTCTCGACCATGACGCTCACAAAAGAGATACTGCAGGAATAGTGTCCCTCCCTGGCTTATGATTACAATATCAGTATTTGCCCATGGTATAGTCAGTTAAAGTTCCACTTCTGTGTGATGTCGTGGGGTGTCTTTCGTCCTCTTGTCTGAACCACTTCTGCGCCGCCTCCTCTTGTGATGGTGGTGGCGATGGGAGTGTGGCGATGGTGCTGATTTTTCACCGCGGCGAAGTTCCCAAGGATTGCCACGGACATCGCACGATCGGCCAGTCGGTTGTTTCGGCAGTGCTGATGTGCAGAAGTTTGTTATAAAACACCTTTTTCGTTTGGGTCATTCGTGGGGGAAATCCAGGCTTGGAATATAAACATGATCAACACTGCCCGAATGTGCAAAGTGAAAAAGATTGTGGCCACACGGCCTAGTTAGAGCAGTGAGAATCTGTGGAAAACCTGAGCCGTGCAGGTGCTCAATGACCAACATGCCATTCTGTAGGTTGGTGGTGACATGTGGATATCCGTTCTTGGGAAGGATAGGTTGAAGTTTAATAACTACAAAACCAAAGACACGTTTTGAAGGGTTTATGCAGCGACCAGTAAGGGTCTTTTCATGTTCCATCATGCAGCGACCGCTCCTCGGCTCTGAGGCGATGCAGGAGCGCCTGGCGGCCTTGTTATTGGAAGTGGAACACCATGGAGGCGGAAGGATGGGTTGGATGGCTTGGAAGATAAGGAAGACCATAAGATGATGAAGATAGGACTGCAAAAACAAGACCAACTCAGGAGTTTTATAACATATGTATAGTTGCTCGTTGGCGTGTATTATGTTGAATGCCGGGGCCCTGTGGGGCCAAATGCCCAAAGTATGGAGAAATCATGAAATCGCTGGAATTGGTCAAGCAAAGCACACAATGAGAGGATGTTTGCACCGGTGGGCAAGTTTCTTGGGCAGGTGCAGGTTTAGTGGAACATTAAATGGTACGCAGCCTTGCTACATCGCGAAAAATGCAATGGCAGTGATTCATGTGATTCTCCCCTACTCGTTCCACAGCAATCGGTCCACCTGGGAATTTCGGTCCACCGGATCGTCGACCGAGACTCGCGACGAGACAACCGGGCTAGGCGATGGACGGAAGAAGCTATCTCCAGAAGAGATTGAGCAGAAGAAGAAGGAAGCCGAAGAGCTTGGTGGGGACGCCTTCGGGTTCGGGGAGAGCATTGTCCCAATGTCCACACACACAGATCCTGACCACAAAAAGCGCACCTGTTCCACGGAAATGACTGCTTCGCCAAAACCACCACCAGCTCACGCAAAAGAGCGTATCCCACTCCCAGGCCCCTGCTTTGTGTGACCTCGCATTGCTGTGAGAGCAGATCCAACCGGACCGGTCTTTTGGAGGGACACCTCTCGGTGTCCAAGCATGTTTGGCGCATGGACCAAACACTTTCTCAGAATTTCTCAGCCATTCCTGTCGATGTGGTTGTGCTGACAATGTGTTTTTATGTTCACCAGAGGAGAAACAACTCCCAAAAGCTGAGGTGATTTGAGAGGTGTCACCCCAAGTTTCCAGTGATAGCGAGGTGACAAGTTCCGGCAGCTCTCAAAGAAGGCCAGGCTCTTTCCGCGTCAGCGGAGCGTTTCGTTTTTTTTTTTTTTTGGCGGGCCCTTTGTCGAGGGGGGTTGGTCCAGATCCAAAGGGGAGAAAAAGGACAACCTGCAAAGGGCCGTGTGATGGACTCCGAGGCAAAAAAGGCCAAACCACCTTGCGAATCCTTCACCACCGAATCACCAGGAGCGAAGTGAGATAAACAAGACCCGCAAGGCCAGGCCGCTGGGCGATTCGACCGCTGCGCGACTTCACCGCTGCGCGACATGGCTCACGACGGGTGGGATCCACTGATCCACACACTAGTAACAATAAGCTACTAGGAACAAGTGCATCGCTACTAGTAACAAGTGCCTTACTACTAGTAACAATAAGCTACTAGGAACAAGTCACGGGTCATCGTCGTCGATCGGCGCCAGGAACGCGCTGGGCAGCGCTTGGCCAAGACGGGGTCGAAGAGCCGGAAGTTCGAGGGGGAAGGTGCTACTTCCAAGGAGACCGGAGCATTTGGAAACGAGAGAAAACGAGTTCAACAAGGAATATGTTGTGGGATGTTGTGGGTCTGTGAAGGCGACCTTTTTGGTGCCATGATGTGTCATGTGGAACCGGAAAGGTCTGCGAATCTTTCATGGGAGATTGCAGGTGTGCCTTTGCGTTTCACGCCCTTAGTAGGAAGTGTTAGCAGCGAGGTTCAGAAGGTCAGACATACTGCATCCACAAATGAATACAAATGATAGTTCTTAATGGTTGTGTATGAATATGCCATGCAGATCACCCTTAACTGATGTTACATATTTTACAATGTTCATTTGTGTTGTCAGCTGCAGATTAGTAATCTGAGATTGCCAGTGCCAGCTTCTGTGCAGCCGGAGACTGTTTCATTTTGTTTCGATCTTGAGAGACTTCAATGGGAGGATGTTCTTTTGGCACGATGTGTCAACACGGTCGGGGGCCAGGAGGACAAAAAGAAGAAGAACAAGGAGAACGTCAAAAAAACGCACCACGACTGCAACGCCATGTTTTGAGTCTTGCGTGTGTGACATGACCTGCTTCAGTGGCATCTTCACATCTCCCACGTGGGTCTTCCTTCCAGATTCATGTAGTCTTTCAGAATTCCACGGGGGCTGAGCTTGAAAAAGTCTGATGTTGCTTGGTAGGTGCACGTAATTCTAACATGGAGCTGGATAAAAAAGATCAGGTTCCAGCATGTTCGAGCTTGGATCCGCCACCATATGATTATTATATACTTGTGGTTTCATGAACACAATTGTCAAAACATCTCAGGCCCCCTTTTCTGGGAGTCGACGAAAAGAGTTGCAAAACACCTGTGCAAGCATCTGAGTGCCAGGCGAAGTGACCAAGTTTGATCAAACGAGAACCCTGGCACCGCACCCCACTAAGCCTTGCCTGCCTAGGTTTTGGATTGGCCTGAGCATGACCTGCTGCTTGGGAAGCTGAAGACCTGCCAAAGCTAGGGCTTGTTCATTCATCGTCCTGTTTTAGGGTTGGAAACAGTTTGGAAACAACCGATTTCTTCGCTTAGAAGGTTGACACGTCATTCCTTCTCAAGTTGCTGTGGCCAAAGAACCTGACTTGTGGGTGTCCAACTCTGTTTCAGGCACATCTCTTTTTGGAGTCCAAGCACCAAGCAGGGCAAGAACCGCACAGCAATAGTTTGTGCCGGTTTTTGGCTGATCTCTCTTGGCTGTATGGCATGCAGGGTTGATTTTCTTTTTAGGCACAATCTTTCATCATGACTCGGCAGTAAGCAAAGCTCCTCTAATGTGGTTCCACTCTGGCAGAAGCTCATTTTTCAATGTGTTGCCCCACATTTCCACTTGCAGCCTATTGGGGGGCTCAGTTAGGGGCTCATATCTCAAGCGAGTATAGGAACGCCACTAAAGAGGAAGAATACAAAGCAGAAGAGTAACCTGTAGTAACCTTATCCATAGTTGCTACTTTCTGTTTCTTTTTGCTTACATTTTGAAGCTGACACCTTAACTCTGGTGGTTTTGGGTCAAGCAGTGCCACCGGCAACCACGAGGGCCCAGTTCGGTGGGTCGGTGTACAGCCACCAAAAATGGGCGACTGAGGAAAGGCAGGAAACGGAGCAGCTGACGTTCTCCGTGAGAAGTTCCCACACGCGTGTTCAATGATCTGGACAAGTGCAAACTGGACATGGAGAAATGTCGTCTTCACCAATGTTGCTAGAACGCGTTTTCGGTTGGTGTGGCTGACGGAGCTGATACCAATACTTCCTGGCCTGGTACAGACCAAGTAATGCTAGTGATGCTGATGTAGTGTTGTTAAACAACCAGCACCATCATATACAATGTAAATCCATATACAATCATGCAGTTTGGCGTGAACACTGGATGAAGATGCACGAAGTATCTAGTACGGTGGAGTGGCTCAAAGACTCTAGCCCGTTCTGCCGCAGATCAAAAAACATCATGGCTTTCCGCTTGACTGGACTTTTCGTGACTTTTCTATATAATGTGTGAAGCTGCGCAAAGGATGTTGGAATAGAGTGCAGCAAAGCAGGCTGCAAACTGCCAAACAAGAAGATCAAAGTTGTGTGGCGCGCACGTGTAGCGCGGTCTTGCCATGGTGTGTTTGCAGACCTTGACTGGAGATTTCCAGTGCTGGACTCATCGTTGCAATTCACGTAGATGCGAATCTCATGAGAAGGTCACCACACTAGAGTGAGCGTCAATGCCAAAGACTCGTTGATTTGCGCCAGTGAACCCCAAAACCATCAGGGCTTAAACCAAGCGCCATGATCCAAAGCCGCTCTTTGGACGTTCCCAGGTGTTCTGGCCTTGGGCTGGGTGCGCGCATGCGCGGCTCGCTTCTGCGGGTGAACTCGCTGGCGACTCGCTCCGCCTTTGAGGAGTGCTCGCATTGGTGTTGAGTGTAGTACCAATTGGGTACTCAGGTGGTTTTGCTCGCAATATCTTTAAGGATCAAAAACTGTTCCAATTTCATGCACTTTCATGCACTTTTTTAGGAAGCTGAGAATCGCGTGTCCAATCCATTGTAGGCCGAGAGGTGCTTTGAAGGTTGGCCAGATCAATTTGCTTTGAGGAGAGTCATGGAAAAAGGGAAGGATTCACGCACCTCTCCCAACTCAAGACTTTCATCACCCAGACGCTCCCATTGGGTGGTTTCAAGGGTCAATGTATATACAAAAACTATGCACACCGGCGATGCCCACGGGCACAGAGTCAGTTTGGACAGACCTGACTACAAGCCATTCTTAACACAGACGCTTCCTCCCCGGAAATAGGGCAGAAAAACATCAAACGCGCAGAATTTACGAGTCTTTTTGCATTTTTGCGGGAGCAAAAGCTGTAAACACCGATGGTGCGGCAAGTGCGGCAAGTGTTTTTGAGTTTTCTGCAAAAAAACGATATTTACAGTACACCTTGCTTATTGAAGCGAAAATTGCAAGAACACAATATTTTACAGTGTTTTGCTCCTTGGCGCGTGCCGAACAAACAGCCCAAAGCCGTCCCCCAAATCTGGTCCCTTCCAGATCCATGATTTTTGCTCGAGTTGTATTTACCCTTCTCACAGCGAAATTGTCCATCGGCCTTGGTGGCGGAAAAAAAGCATCTCCCCCACCCAACTCAAGGATTTTGACGCGTTTCTCATTTTGCGGACTTTGAGTCGCTCAAGATCCAAACAGGGCCCGAAATGCAGGCGAGAGCGGCGGTCTTTTAAGGCCAGATGCAAAAAACACTGCAAAGCACAGGTCGGCGGCAGGGGACACCCCTAGTTGCAAACTAGCCTTAGATACGCAACGGCACGGCATCGCCGGTTTTCAAGGCTTGCGCCTAAGAGCAGGCCGCGCACAGTCAGGCGCCGGCGTGGGCAGGGCAGGTGCAGGCGCCCTTCCTTTTTCTCTTTCCTCTTGTTCTTTCTCTTTCTCTGGCTCCTTCTCTTGCTCTTGCTCTTCCCTGTTCTCTTCCTTTTTCTCTTCTTTTTTCACTGTCAAGAAGAGCAAGCGGAAGCACAAAGTGCTGATAATGCAAGGCTACTCGGGCAGCATATCTAGCACTATGTGCCTTTGAAAACGACTTCGCAGCCATCAAGATATCAATCATCGACCTACCGTGGAGCTATCTTGAAGCCATTTTGAAAAATGCATCCGTCCACGCTCTCCGAAGTGGCCTGCGAGGATCCAGGTGCCTCCGATAGAGTATGCCCGCGCTGGGTCGGCAGTGTCGCCGCCCTACCTCCGGCAGAAGTGCTTCCGGCGGCGCCACAGCCTATCCAGCCGTTTTAAGGGCTGACCCCTCCGGCCGCAGCAAGTAAGACAAGACACCTGCTGAACAAGCAGGATGCTGCACAAGCGCTGTCTCTGTCTTACTTGCTCCGAGTATGTAGTAGTCCGTGGTTTCAGATGTAGTCAGTTTGATCTTCAACCTTTACTTGACTACTTCCCCACGATTCCAAAGGATGTATTTCGTATAGTCAAGCGTTGCTGGCCTATACCGCGTCTTGCTGGCCCACACCGCGTTCCAGCATGCTATATAGTTGCGGGGTTGGATTTTATGGGCGTTAGTGCAGGGAATGGAAAGGCGAGCATGGGGCATGGAATAGGCGCTGCTTCTGCTGGCTGCTGCTGCTGCTGCTGGATCTCAAGGCTCCCGCCAAGGTCCTTCGCCACAGCTTCACACAATCTAAGAATCTAATTCCACACGCCTCGAAGCTGATCGGTCAGTCCAAACGCCGCTTTCTGACGGCAGTAAAAACTTCTCAAAAGCCATTCTCGAGACAGGGCCTGCCTCCAAAGCCATAGATTGTTATTCTGTAGAGGAAAAAGAGAGCTCTTTCCAGAAACCATGGGAAATACCCAAACCACCTGCTATTTTTTGAGCTACCCCAAGCAAACCTGGGGCCCATCCTGGAATGCTAAAGTGGGAGGGGGTGTCACCCTTTCCAACCTGGGCCGAGTGGAAGGCAGAGCAGCAGAGAAGGTATGTTTGCTGCTCTCGTGCCCGTGGTTGGCAGCCAGACAATGATGGTGAGACGGGGGACGAAAAGCGGCATGTGAAGCATGGCAATGAGCAGGATCATGGGCCAGCTGGGCTGAACTCCCGACGACGACATCACTACAATGTGGTGGAGATTGTCAGCCACTCCAAGCAGTTGTTTCCTGACGCCACTAAAAATCCTGTTCCTTTTCCTTCTCTAAAGCCATTCCCTAGACCCGTATAGAAGCAGAGCCATAGAGCCTGTCTCTAGAGCCATGGAGCCATTCTGAATGCTGCCGGCAATCTTCTTCGCACAGCTTTGCGCAATCTAATTCCACACCAAAAATGACCAAAAACTAGTCCTTGAAGCTGATCGGTCAGTTCCAAAGGTTGCTTTCTGATCATTTTTAAAACCATTCTCTAGAGCGATAGAGCCATTCCGGCAATCTGCTCCGTCACAGCTTTCTACAAACCAATTCCCCACCAAATATGACCTAAAACTAGTTCTCGATTCGGCAACCATCTCATCGACCCGACACCAGGCAGTGTCCTCTTGCGCGCTCCCCCCAAAAGCGGGGTCGGCGGACATAACTGTCAACATTGACCCTTGAAACCAATGGAGGCATATGATTTTTTTCACGGAGTGTTTGGGTCGGTTTCGGCGAGCCCTCAGCCTTCACCCGAAACATTGAGAGCAGGACTCAGAGCTTTCGCAGGCCTCGTCCTTCACAGTGCCTTGGTGGTGTGCAAGCGGTCTGAAAAGAACTGCGATGCCCGGCGATCTTGGTTGTTCACCTGACGGTATGTATATATATATATAATAATGTTATATATACACCAACTGCTATAAGGGCGCTTCTTGGATTGTAGTTTTGGGTTTTCGTTACACTGCAGTTTTCCTTCGTAACACCTTCCACCCGGAACCGCAACAGTGAGGCTATAAAGCTCAAGCGCAAGGGCCGCACGGCCGAAGGCCAGGACCTCGTGGGTGTTCGCTGGGGCTTCACCTGGCTTGGGAGTCCTGGCAATCAGCTGCTGTCAAGAGTCATCCTTGGGATGAAAAATGTTTTGCAACACACTGCGCAAGGTCACGCCTGCGACTGTACGGTACGGCGCCCCACGGGGGAGCTCCTTGTCGGTCGCACCATCACGGTTCCTGGATCTTCCAGAAGCCTGCTTGTTGTACATATGGTCATCTGGAGGTCTATCATAGTTTGGGGCCTGATATAATCCTAGAATCTGCCAATAACGCCAATAAACACGGCACTCCTTGCGCGCCGCTCCCTGCCGTGCCATCCCCAGGATAAACCGACCAAGAAGGAAGCGGAGGCGAAACATTGTGAAACGATGGTTTTGGCCGATGTAATTCACTCGCACTAAGATGAAAGTGGACAAAGGGCCTATTGAACCATATATTACATATATAACCCTCATGTTTGTGTTTGGTAAGGATTTTAGTCATAAGAGCTGGTTGCGGAAGGAAGATCCTGCAGTGCGGTCTGGCCTAAGGTTGTAAGTCCAACCCTTTTAAAGCTGCATAAGGTTCGGACTTGATCAAGAACTAAATGTTTTGCAATTCGCATTTAGCACTGCATGGCAAAGCTTTGGTTAGAGTTTAGTCGTGTTTACTGGTGCTTGGTTTGGGTTGACGGGCCTTATGGCGTTGATTTGTTCCGAAGAGACTGTGGTGTTGACTTGTTCTAGTTGAGAGATCTCCCTTTTGGATTGGATGAGTGTGGCAGCCTCAAGCCATCTCAAGCCCAAGACCCTGCTATTGTTATAAGCTCACCAAGTGGAGGCGA